CTGACGAGTCAGGAAATGCTGGAGGTGTGACTGATCATGAGGAGCTGGCGCAGATAATGAAATTAATAGCCGATAATGAAAACGATCTGTATGAGGGTTGCACCGAGTTCACCAGGTTATCATTTATGCTGCGTCTTTTGCGTATAAAGTCTCTTAGCGGAATGGCTGATAAATATTTTAATATGTTGCTTGTGTTGCTGAGAAAAGTCATTCCAAATGGAAAAGATAGCATACCAGAAAATTATGATAACGCAAAGAAGATTGTTTCTGTTATAGGACTTGATTACAATAAAATCGACGCATGCCCTAATGATTGTATCCTCTACTATAAGGATAACAAAGATCTTCAGGAGTGTCCAATTTGTGGAGTATCACGGTGGGTACAACGCAAAAATTATTCAACACATGGGACAACAAGGTCTATGCTTAAGCAAAAGAAGATTCCAGCAAAGGTCCTGCGTCATTTTCCCTTAATACCAAGGCTAAAACGGTTGTATATGAATAAAGACACTGCTAAGCAAATGAGGTGGCACATGGAAGAACGTACTAATGATGGTAAAATCAGACATCCGGCTGATGCAGAGGCGTGGAAGCATATGGATAGAACTTTTCCTTGGTTCAGACATCCGGCTGATGCAGAGGCGTGGAAGCATATGGATAGAACTTTTCCTTGGTTTGCGAATGAGTGTAGGAATGTTAGACTAGGTTTGTCTAGCGACGGATTCAATCCATTTGGGATAATGAGTTCTTGTTGGTCTACATGGCCTGTGGTATTAACGCCTTACAACTTACCACATTGGCTTTGCATGAAACAACAGTATATGATACTTTCATTATTGATACCAGGCAAGCATGCACCAGGCAATGACATAGATGTGTTTTTAGAACCGCTAATTAATGAATTAAAACAACTCTGGACTGAAGGGGTTATGACTTATGATACTCATGCAAAGCAGTCTTTCAGACTAACGTGCTTATTTTACTATGGACAATTAATGATTTCCAAGCCAGTGGCGAATCTTTCAGGTTGGTCTACAAAGGGACATAATGCATGCCAGTGTGTGGTCCCAGATTCAAAGGCCATTTATTCTGCAGGGGCAACAGTTCGAAAGTTTTGTTATTGGTTTAAGTAGAAGGTGGTTGAACCATAAAACATCGAGGTACAGAACAAAAAAATGGAGCAAGTTTTTGATGATACTGTTGGAAGAGAGATGCTCCGTGTCCATTACGTGGGGATCAGATTGTAACATTTGCTTGAGAATTTCCCTGCCGTCAGGTTTGGAAAGAAGGGCGCTTTGCGAAAAAGATTTACTTTGGAGCTAAGGGACTTGCGTATTAACAAAAGGATACCAAAACGAAAGAGAGCAACCACAAGTGGTGGTGATAGGGCTGAAGTCGTAAAAATTACTTCAGGATGGACAAAATTCAGGCATTTTTTTTCACTCCCTATTGAAAGAGCTAAAAATACGTCAGCAACTTGGACGTTATGCACATAAAAAATATCTGTGATAATCTTTGTCCACACTGTTGCAAGATTGCTAATAATGCAGAAGGATGATCTACGAGCTCGTCGAGATCTAACTGCAATTGAACATTAGAGAGGTAACTGCAGCCAAAAATTATGCGGAAGATGAGCCGATTAGAGTTGCCTGCGGTCGTCATATACCAATGTTGGAAAGTTGAGTATGCCAACATTTTTGTCCAAGTCCTCAAATGCAATAAGTTACCAGAGGGTTCTCCGCAAGACATATGTCGAACTATGTCCAGGTGGCAAGAAAGGAAAATTATTAGGGCTTAAAACTCCATGATTATCACGCTTCTTCATCAATTGCTAACCTGTGGCACTTACGCAGTACTATGCAGAATAAAAAAACAGTGAAGGATTATTGATTTTTGTGGATTTTCAGAAAGCTTTGTTCTAAAGTTATAGACGTCCGTAGACTTTGAGAAACTTGGAGAAAATATTTTGTGAAACAATCGTGTGAAATGGAGATGCTCTTTCCTCCATCTTTTTTTCACAATAATGGTTCATCTTACACATCATCTCGCGGAGGAGGCTGCAAATAGCAGGACAGTCCCATTTATCGTTGGGATGTAATCCATAGAGAGGTTAGTATTTAGAAAATTTAATCGATCCAGCATCAAATATTATGATCTATTAAATGTAAATTTCTTTACATCTATATTTGATTAATATTCCTTTTTTAGATATTTGGGTTCAATGAAGCGTCAATTACATAACAGAGCTCCCCCAGAAGGTTCAATAGCTGAAAGTTACGTGAGAAGCGAGTGTCCCTCTCGTTATATGAGAGGGGAACAAACTGAACTTCAAGCACCCGTTGATAATAAGGAGTACACAGTTCTCTATCCTCGCGAGCTGAACAAAAATTATTCTAACATATTTTTAGATCAAGCGCATGCATATGTTATAAATAATCTTGAAATCTTCTCGGAGTATCGGAGGTAAAATATCTAAAAATTCTTTTTAATACCATTTACTCTTTAATTTTTTATTTTGACAAAATTTTTATTTTGACAATAATAATTAAATTTATGCACATTAATAGGCAACATCAGAAAAAACTTAAGAATGAAGTTACCGGTAGTACAGCTGTACATGACATTAAAGAAAGGCATATGAAGGAATTCCCTGCTTGGTTGAATAGTGAAGTAAGTATTGTTAAATTTAGCGATATTTGTATTTCATTGATAAAAAACTTAGAAATGTCTTGATTTAATAGTTTGCTTATTTTTGTATATATTTAGATCCAGGAACAACTTGTCCTTAATAATCAAATATCAGAAGAAGTGAAGGTTCACGCAAAGCGGCCTTACTATGCTGTAATTCAATATGGTGGGTATCGTGTTAACGGTTATAAATTTCACACAATGGAGGTTGATGATACGAAGGTCACCCAGAATAGTGATGTCATGGCTACCTCTTCACGGGAATGTTTCTCAAACAGAAGATATCAGAATCCAGTTGAAAATAATATGACATATTATGGAAGGTTGGAAGATGTGGTGGAGATATTCTACGGCTATGGTGGTCCAAATGAACATAAATACATTATGTTCATGATTCGTTGGTGTTTTACAAAGACTCAAAAGGATCCCTTTGGATTTACAATTGTCAATCTCGATAAAGAAATTGATAGTGATGAAAAATTCATGTTTGCATCTAAGGTGGGACAATGTTTCTATGTGAAAGATCCTACAGTTAAAGACGAGTGGGTTGTCTTGTACAAGGATTCTAGGGCTTATATTCAACCTTCCACTAATGAAGATGATGACGAGAGCTATATAAACAACTTAAATGAGCCAAATACAGCGATCAATGAATTCTCGTACCCTCAAAACGTAGTGTTTGAAACGGATGCTCCAACAACTCGGACAGACATTCCAAATATTATCACAGACATTAATAGGAGCTAAACAGCAATTATTTGTAATCGGGTCTTCATGTAACTTTTTTTAGTTTGCAAATTGTATAATAAAAACTTTAATATCACTACATTGTATCTCAATTACCTTTTGGACGATATAAATATGTAATATCTTATTTTGTATATTAAGCTTGCAAATGCCTACAAACTTGATGTGAAATGAAAAATTTAGTAACGCAACAATACATATTGTTTTTATTTTCGCCAAGCCAATTTGCATCTATGTTATATTAATTTGTATGTTTATTCAACTTGCATATGTCTAAAAATATTAACAGGAGGTTATTCGAAGCTAACCCCAGTCAAGACCAATCCACTGAGGAAGAGCCTCAGAGTTCATGAGAGATGTCAGGTATAACTTGGTTTAACGAACGTATTTTTATTCATGATATATGCACAATGATAATTTATTTCTTTTATTTTTATAGGTGAGGGTGAGGAAGAGCCGACCCACATGCCATTATATGCAAATCCTCCAGTTATACTTCGAGCATACATATCTGGGATTGAGCGCGGTCCCTTACCAGCATGTGCAGAGGGGTATAGACTCAAGCAGACTGAAAAATACATGCTTGCGAAAAGAAGATTGGATGAATGGGCCCCACAGATTGAGGAGATTTTGTCTGATGCAAAAAATGAAATCAGACAAAGATTTGGTGAGTTTGATCAAAAACTTAATCAATTCCAGAATTTTTCTTCTTCCTTTTTTAGTAAATTCTAAGAGCTTAAATAAAAGTGTTGATTAAATAAAAGTGTTGATATATCTATTATTTCTTTTTTGTAGGAGAAAAACTTTACCAGAAGAAAGGACGCCAAGGAAGTGACTTTAAAAAAAAGTTACCGGCGGATGGTTTCCGAGCAATTGTGAGATGGGGACATAATGGGATTCCAACCAGACAATGGGCTAATAACTTCAGCTCATACCTTGGATGTTTGATACGGAGGAGTGATAATGTGAATCCCTATTACGAGGCTTGGGAGCATCCATTTCATGTCCTGGAGAGTATATATCGAGATTGTTGGGTAAATTCTTATATTTAACACAATTATTTTTCAATTCTATCAATTGTTCATGCTTAACTATATTTTATTTTTTAGAGATATTTCAACATCGAAGACAATCCCGTAGGGTGGGAATTTTTATTTGGATACCAGGGAAAGTTCAAGCATTCTCTTCGGGAGTGGAGACATGAGATAAAGAAGAAATGCTTTGATTGTTTCACTCACAACTGGGAGAGGATATACAAGCGAGATAAGAGGGTTGACCCTGAGCACTTAGCTGCACTTATAATATTGTGGGGCCAAGAGCAGCACCAGGTAAATATGTATAGTAGTTAATTATCATCAAGTTATTTATCTGAAACTAGTGATATATTCCATTGTATATTATACCGCACTAAAATTCTCTTTGTTCATGTTGAAGGAAAAATGTAGGAGAAATAAACTTAATCGATGAAAAAAAGATTACGATCATCATACGGGGACTACTTCATTTGCCCAGATTGAGGATCAATTTTGTAGGACAACAGTATAAAGTCTTTTAATCTTCTATGTATATTCTCTCCGCTTCTTAGAATATTTGATAAATAAAACTAATAAATATATTGTTAAATTTCAGAACGCTCCCTTTATCCCACTACCAGAACTGCACAGGAGAACGATGGTTCAATTTAAGAAGGGGTACGATGACGATGAGACTAAGAAACAAAAGCTAGAATTGGCCAAGAAAATGCAGGTTAACTAATTATCTTAGCTCTTATTAGCCTGTTATCATGTTGGGAATTTATTGTTTGCACTCTTCTTTTGGTCATCTTAATTATCATACATGAATTATATGTGTACTTTTATGTAGTACTTTTATGTTGCACAAAACACCCTTCAACCATTTATTAGCACTTAGCCTCCTCAATTGTGGAACTACTTCATCTTTTATTTTACTTGTTCAGGTAAATATATCTTTTATTTTTGAAAGGTCAGATAGCTATAAATATGAGGGGCTTGCTTGTTAGGATATAACAATGCATAAGATATAACAATGCATAAGAAACAACTATTTATTAGCACTTAACACCCTTCTTCACATGTACTTTTATGTTGCACAAAACACCCTTCACATGTACTTTTATTTTACTTGTTCAGGTAAATATCTTTTATTTTTGAAAGGCTAATTCTTAAATTTATTTTTTGGACTTCTAGGAAGCTCTGGAAAACACGTATTCTGAGGTTGTTGCACAGAGCCAAGAGCCCCTGACTAGAGAGCAGAATTATAATGTGAGCCATCTAGTTTGTAGACTTCCTAAAAAAGGGAGGACCAGGTGGATGGGAGTTGGAGCTCAAAGGGTGTCTATACAATTCCAGCCTCCGCCGATTTCCACACCCTCGACTATGCCATCGGGGCCCTCTTACATGCCGCAGGAGGATTGCACTCAGCAGGCGATGCAGCTTGTTTCCTCTGTGATGAGTATGTTAGATGGTCAGATTCCCGAGGAGATGTGGGAGGATATTCAAGAGGAGCTTATGCGAGTGATCCAGCCTACTGCTACTTTTGCGATGGTTTCTAGGCAAATAATGAAATCTTGTAGAAGGCGGGTTCCTACTCGGGTGCAAAGCCAGATTATGAACTTCTTGGCCACTCAAAAGGCATTTACTGGTAGTGGAGAGAGTAGCAGACATGTATACTTATTATATATGTAAAACATGATTACACACAATATTATGTGATTCTAAATTTAAATTATTTTGTTGTTAGATTGGAGATGATACTATTGGGAGCACGAGTCGTAGGGATGGATCCGCCAGTGGCAACGCGGACGATGACATGGATAGGGCGGATGACCTATCTTAGTGAGTTATATCCTAAACTCGTGTTTGTATATTGTGGACATCTTTATAGTTGAGATTATGATACTCGTGTTTGTATATTGTGGACATCTTTATAGTTGAGATTATGATACTCGTGTTTGTATATTGTGGAGGATTTAGAACTTATGATATGTGTGTATTGTTTGTTGTGAAAATTATTATTGTGGATTTGGAACTTATCGTGAAAAGTGAATGTATATATTTCGATTGTTTGTGAAAATTGATTGGATGAGAGGTTTAATTGGGAAAATTTGGATTGTATCATTGCGAGATGTTTTGGAATGCGTGTGAAATGTCGTTTGGAGATTTGTATGTACAGGGAATATATATATGTACAGGGAACTGAGTATATATCACCAGATTTTTTTTAGCTGCTGATACTTATCGCTGACGGGCTTCCCGTCAGCGAAGGTATGCTGACAGGGAACCGTCAGCGAGGTTAATCATAACATAGCTGACGAATTCCGCGTGTAGCAGATCTATCGCTGACGGAAGCCAGTCGCGATATTTACAATATCGTGACGTGTGGGAGATCCGTAGGCCGATAGTTAAACGCTGACCGGAGATCCCCGCAGCGAATGTTGTAAATGCTGAAGGGAATATGTCAGCGGATGTTTCTCTATCGTGACGGGGGATGCGTCAGCTGTTGACGTCAGCAAGATACTTATACGCTGACGGGCGACCTAGTCTGATAGTACTTCTTGAAGGGACTATGGCTGAGCGTGATCCTTGACGGGACGCCGTCAGCGATACTTATCGCTGACGGGAATTGGGGCATCGCTGACGGGAAAGCCCGTCAGCGATACATGATTTTCCACTAGTGTATAAAGGAGAGGAATATAGGGTATGCTGAGCATGTACAAAGTAAATGCCATCTCAAATTCCAGAATTGAACCCACATGTCCTTTTATTCTTCTACTATAAAACCCTGAGCCTATTCGTCTTAGAAATCCCTCTCTAAACCTCTGCTTATGGATTTCCTTTGATCGTCATCGAGCAATGGGTTCACCTGCCGTTGCTCTCTATATGCCGAAGGTGAATCCAGATATGCAATGTAGGGCAACTATGAACCTTTGGCAGTTATGCTAGTTACTGGGAGTAACGTGTATTGTGATTTTTTAGGTTTTGTTTGATGAATAAGGAAATGTTTGAAGTGTTTGCTTTCTATGAATATTATTGATATGTTATCCTGTAACCTGTTAAGGGATATGAAAGATTTTTATGACTTAATTGGCTCAATAGTCGCTATCGAGTGGCAAATATGAGCTGAGAATGTTGTAGTATGTCTATTCTCATTCTTGCTACCAATGAGTCACTTTGTTCTTCGTGTAAGGCTCATTTTTTCGACAGGTTTTTCCACCAAAGGCACATTATGTTACACTATCCAAATTCACTAACTAAGCATTCAGCACTCAGCATGCTTTCTCTTAGCCATTTTAGGTTGAATTATACCTTAAATTGATTAGAGAACAACAAGTGCATAGTTATTGGATCCATTAATTTCTCCAATTTGTGCTGCTTTCTCTTAGCCATTTTAGGTTGAATTATACCTTAAATTGATTAGAGAACAACAAGTGCATAGTTATTGGATCCATTAATTTCTCCAATTTGTGCTCTTTGTTAGCAAACTAACCAAAGTTAACAAACCATTAGAGCCTTTCCATATTAAACTGCTGTGTTTTTTTGACATAATTAGTCTTCAATAATGAAAGATTTAATCCAGATTTGACTTATGATAGGGAAGATACTTCCTGATCTTACTAGTCTAAGAATCATCATGACAGAGATAACTCATCTCTTGGCTTATTGGGATTATCCATCTCCACAATCCTAGCAGCATGTCTTTGAGATGTATGTCTAATTTCTAGCCACCAATATAAACAAAAAGAAGTGTGCATGCTTTTTACTCATAGTACAATTTTTCTTCATTATTCAACTACCGTTGCTGGCTCTTTTTCACTCATCTCACAGCTCAAAGACGGTTAGTGGAATAAAGGAATCCCTCTTTTATATGTAGAAAATTTAGTAGATGTACAAATGTTTAGCTTCTCTATTTGTCTGTCATTTCTTTACACAACTCATAGATACATCTATGTACAGAAATAGAATTACAGACCTCATAATATCTCTATGAAAGTAAAATTTCATCTCAAGAAATATAACACTTTAACAAACAAATTCTATGTCTTTACAAATCAATCTCATATTTAGCTCAGCAATGAAGTCTTTATCCCAAAATTTTGGAGTTAGTTACATGAATCTTATTCTTCCGTTCAGTTCTTCAAGTTAGTTCGTATACTGCAGAAAATAATTCATTTGGATAAAAATTCATCCAACATAAGAGATTTGTTTTCTGTAGTTGAAAGAATTTGTTCTGAGCCAGCCAGAAGCATATGAGATGAAGATAGGGGAGCAAACATTTCGAAGGCCAGGAGATCCACCTCTTTAAAAAGTCATTGAGATGCTGAAGAGGAAGAGAAATGGTAACTCTATTTCAGATCAGCAGCACCCCGAACATGAATTATAATCCAACAATATATCATGTATTTCCTTTTCTTGCCTTCACAATGTAACAAGTTCTCTTAGTGCAATTTTTTGCTAAGTCTCTTTAACAAAAACCTTTCTAATGGGAGTAAATTCTTTGTTTATTATAATATGCAACTTGTTTGGAGTATAATTTGATGTTTAGTTTCTTTGTTGATGTGAATGGGAGCAAATTTTTTTTAATGTTCAGGTTCAGTGTAGGCTTATAGTTGACAGAAAAGATATTACTTTTGACGATACAAATTAGTATTGACAAAATTATACTTTTTTAATAATTATGCTAAAAATTATACTTTTGCCGACGCTAAATTGCGTTGCTAAATTCTTAACGTTTAGCGACGTATTAATTTGCGTCACTAAAAGTAACACTTTTGTCGACGTTTATATTGCGTCGCCAAAAATAATATCTTTTAGTGACGCTTCATTCGTCAAAAATAATATCTTTTAGTGACGCTTCATTCGTCGCCAAAGATATAGTTTTTAGCGACGCTTCATTCTGCGTCGCTAAAAGCTACACTTTTGCCGACGCTGACTTGCGTTGTTAAAAGTATAATTTTTAGCGACGAATAGTTTTACGTTGCTAAAAGCTATATTTTTACCAACGTATTGGCTTTTGCCGACGCTGCATGCGTCACCAAAAGTACAAGTTTTGTCGATGCACTTTTGTATATGAAAAAATTCTACATATTTTTTCCGACGCAAAATATTATGCGTCGCTAAAAGATATACTTTTCCCGATGCACGAAGCGTCACCAAAAGTGTTGACTTTTACCGATGCAGTGTGTTTGCGTCGCTAAATACTTGACGCGCTTTTGGTGATTCGTTAGCGACGCTGCATTTTGCGTCGGGAAAGATTTTTCCCGACGTTTTCTAAACTTTTGCCGACGTTTTTGTGTCGTCGGCAATGTTGTATTTTGTTGTAGTAAAAATTTACCACAAATATTACACTTAAACTTTTGTGGTATTTTAAAATCATTTGGAAAATGTGAAATCTTTTTCAAATCAAAGCAAAATTTTGCCAAATGGCCAAAACGTGCACAATAATGACACTTATACACATGAGCATGCTTATGATGAACTTATGATGCATGTGCATGTGTATGTGATGATGAAGCTTGATGGGATGCACAAACATGATTAGGCTTGATGGGTTTTAATGCATTATAACAAAATTTAGCAATATGGTCTTTTTAGCCGTAAATGAAACGTTTGTAAATTTTGTTATACATGTGTGCATAGTGAATGTGTTTCTTGAGAGAATTTACACGGGACTTTGTACACAAGTCCATAAGCTTATCATTATGATAGGGAAGATACTTCCTGATCTTACTAGTCTAAGAATCATCATGACAGAGATAACTCATCTCTTGGCTTATTTGGATTATCCATCTCCACAATCATAGCAGCATGTCTTTGACTTGTATATGTCTAATTTCTAGCCACCAATATAAACAAAAAGAAGTGTGCATGCTTTTTACTCCTAGTACAATTTTTCTTCATTATTCAACTACCGTTGCTAGCTCTTTTTCACTCATCTCACAGCTCAAAGACGGTTAGTGGAATAAAGGAATCCCTCTTTTATATGTAGAAAATTTAGTAGATGTACAAATGTTTAGCTTCTCTATTTGTCTGTCATTTCTTTACACAACTCATAGATAAATCCATGTACAGAAACAGAATTACAGACCTCATAATATCTCTATGAAAGTAAAATTTCATCTCAAGAAATATAACACTTTAACAAACAAATTCTATGTCTTTACAAATCAATCTCATATTTAGCTCAGGAATGAAGTCTTTATCCCAAAATTTTGGAGTTAGTTACATGAATCTTATTCTTCCGTTCAGTTCTTCAAGTTAGTTCGTATACTGCAGAAAATAATTCATTTGGATAAAAATTCATCCAACATAAGAGATTTGTTTTCTGTAGTTGAAAGAATTTGTTCTGAGCCAGCCAGAAGCATATGAGATGAAGATAGGGGAACAAACATTTCGAAGGCCGGGAGATCCACCTCTTTAAGAAGTCATTGAGATGCTGAAGAGGAAGAGAAATGGTGACTCTACTTCATATCAGCAACAACCTGAAGATGAATTATAATCCAGCAATATTTCATGTATTTCCTTTTCTTGCCTTCACAATGTAACAAGTTCTCTTAATGCAATTTTTTGCTGAGTCTCTTTAACAAAAACCTTTCTAATGGGAGTAAATTCTTTGTTTATCATAATATGCAACTTGTTTGGAGTATAATTTGATGTTTGGTTTCTTTGTTGATGTGAATGAGAGCAAATGTTTTGTGGATGTTCAGCTTCAGTGTAGGCTTATAGTTGACAGAAAAGATATTACTTTTGACGATGCAAATTAGTATTGACAAAATTATACTTTTTTAATAGTTATGCTAAAAATTATACTTTTGCCGACACTAAATTGCGTTGCTAAATTTTTAACGTTTAGCGACGTATTAATTTGCGTCACTAAAAGTAATACTTTTGTCGACGTTTATATTGCGTCACCAAAAATAATATCTTTTAGTGATGCTATCATTCATCGCCAAAGATATAGT